GGATCCGAAGATGTGTCGGTGGTATGATGTTGAACCGTATTACTGGGACTGTCCAAGCTGTAAGAAGGAATATCAGAAGAGCAATCCTCACCACACCAAGATATCTGGCCAATGCAGATTCGCCGAAAAATGGAAGCTGCCAGATAACTTTGGCCAGCCGCGCCCGGCGGGGCAAGCCGCTCCTGCGGCGCCAGCCGCGGAAGCGGCTCCAGCCGCAGAAGCGGCGCCAGCCGCAAAAGCGGCGCCGGCCGCGAGAGCGCGCATACGCGCGCCTAGGCCGCCACGGCCTGGTGAGGGCGATCCAACCGCAGGCGCCAGCAGCCATGATATCACCAGAGCCGACGGGGCTAATGGTGGCAACAGTGGCGCTGGCAGCTCTGACGATCACCGTAGACTGCCACAAGTTGCAGCAAGGCGCGGACGCATGGAGGGAGGAGATCCTCCACCACCGCCGCAGCCTCAAGCAGAGCCGAGGCCAAGGCCAAGGCTCCCTGATTGGACTCGTTTCGACGTTCAGCTCAGCCTCCAAAACCTGCGCAGCTTCGACCCAGCTGTAGTGCAGCGAGAACTCCGCAAACTCCACCTGAGATGGTTTCATGCCAAGGAGCCAAAAATGCGGATGATTCTAACCAAGGTTGGTCTGGGTGAAACCCGTTTGAGTCTGATCAAAGGCATTTGTGACTCGTGTAGAGAATGTCGAGCCTGGGACAAACCAGGCAACACGGTGATGCCTTCTGTGTCACTGCCAGGACGTTTCAACGAGGAAGTCGAATGTGATCTTTTCTTTTACAAACAGGAACATATTGTTTTTCACATCATCGACCGTTGTATTCGCTGGGCAGCTGGCACAGAGATTCCTGATAAAGCCATGCATACTGTTCTCGATGCCTATCATACGACTTGGATGCAACATGGCCCTGCTAAAATCTTATACTCCGATGGGGAAGGAGCACTGAATAATGATACAGCAAAGGCCATCCTTAAGGCTAAGGGAACAGAGCTTCGTATCGAGCGCGTGGCCAACACGCTACAACTATCGAAGCTAGGAACGGCATCCTGCGACACCTCTTACACGTGATGGGAGAAGAATTGAATAGATTAAATATTCCTCTCAATTTCACTCGTCTCTTACATGAAGCCTTGTTTGCCAGCAACGCATTTACCTTCTACAATGAAGTGTCTCCGTACAATGCGCTGTATGGCAGACAACCAGCTATGCTTCCCGATTTCCCTGTCTTGGATCATGATCAGTCCGCTGAATCATCAGATCACTCAAGGGAGGAAACAATCAGGAGGGTTAGTCTGGAGGCAATCACGCAGGCCACTGCGGTTGCCAAGACGAACAGGGCTCTCCGTACGAAGACTACTGCTACGGGTGAATTTCACTACAAAGAGGGAGATCTCGTGGACTATCATCGCCCGACCACCACGAAAGACGACTGGGGTGGATGGAGTGGTCCATACCCGGTCATCCGCAACGAACCTGACCGAGGCCAGGTCATCGTGAAGGTCGGCAGTCGCGAAGTGCGAGTACAGTATCCTGACACACGACACACACTGTACATCGAAGCACTTATGGTCCGCGAGATAGGATCGGACAATACGGCCCTTCGGACAGTATTGGCCTTTATTGCCGGTCTGCCAGCGGGGAAACCCGCCATGACTTTCGGATATCTACCAGCGAAACAGGGTCGGCTGCAGATGACTGCTGCGAGCCGACTTTCGCCTAAGGTGCACTTGGCTCTTCAGTACCTCATACGCAACTACTTTCGTATTGAAAACGTTGTTGCTGTACGACTTGCCAAGAGCCTGACGAAGTTGCCTGCTGCACCCTATGCAGACAGCTGTACACTAGTGCACTATGATAATGATGTGACCCCTGGTTTTCATTACTATGAAGCTGATGGCACTGCCTTGAACATCTATGACATCACAGGATCTACACACTCACGCATCATCCAGTGTCTTAAATCCAGGAAGCCGTCTGCTGGATTTGACCAAGACCTCACTAAGTTTGAGGAACTCGCTGATGGTCCACCACCAAGCGAATCACCTCCAGCAGCTGCTCCTGAGGAGCCTCCTACGGATAACGATGGTCGGCTCCCGACCATCATAGAGGAAACAGAAGAAGATCTGGATGCTTTTGTCTTGAAGTCGTGGTATGCTGAACTGATGGATGACAGAACACTCCTTGAAGCTGACACAGAGGAAGTCATGCATACAGTTCCCACATACATGACAGACACACAGTGTGTGTTAGTCTCTACGACCTGTGAAGATGTGCAAGGCCACTTGCCGGAGCGGGGTCACCCGCCAGGATACGACATGGACACTTCTTACTACGTTCCTTTATGCTCCACGGATCCGGATAGCAAATATGATCTGGACTCCGATGAGCACGGGAAGTACATCGAGCTCTGCTTCACTGCAGACATGTCCAAAGTCGTCCTGTCCGAGCAGCAACACCGATTGTTGGATGACAGCAGCGTCACAACTATGCGAGTATACGTTAGCGCTGCCTCCAAACGTGCCGTGGTCGTCAAGGAAGACGATCTACTCACGAAGGCCGACATCCAAGCAAATCCGGTCAAAGTTTCCAAAGCCCTCTACACAGAATTGAAGACTTGGCTTGACAACAAATGCTTCCAGATGACTGACTTAAGCAAGGCGTCTAACATCATGACGTCACGCTACGTATACAAATGGAAGTTTGTCAAGAACGAAAAGGGCGAAATGGAAAGGACGATCAGGTTACGCTTGGTACTCCGTGGCTTCATGGACCTTGAAGCCTTTGATGTCGAAACCTTCTCTGGCACGGCAAGGAGGTCAAGCCAGAGACTGCTCGCAAGTTCTGCTGCATGCAACAAAGCTTGGATCATCGCTTCCCTGGACATCAACATGGCTTTCTTGAAGGGACTGACCTATGGCGAGCTCGCCGCGGCAACGGGCGAGAAAGAGCGTGTGGTGTGCTTCACACTACCACCTGGGTCAGCAGCTGTCCTTCGCACACTGCCAGGCTTTGAGTCATATGACGAATCAAAGCATTGTCTCCGGTGTCTGAAACCGGGGACGGGCACGAAGGATGCTCCCAGGGCATTCTCGCTGAAGCTCAGGTCCATCACTAGGAGCTTTGGGCTACAGCCTACTTCATACGACGAAGAGTTCGAGATGAGCCCAAACCTCTTGACAGCCAAGCACGTTGATGACATCAATATGACTGGGAAGGAAGAGGCTATTGACAAGTATGTCAAGTGTGTTGAAGATACGTTTGGGAAGTGCAAACTGAACAAGCACACATACACAAACTGTGCCGTTCGGTACAACAAGACCGATGATGGGAGCGTCACTCTTGATCAGGACGAATACATCAAACAGCTTCGTCCTATCACACATCCAGAACTCACAGGAGCTGATCCTGAGAGCAAAGCGACAAAGACGATTTCTGATATGTTCGTCAGTCTTCGTGGCGCTCTAGCCTATGCGTTGATCACGCAGGTATGGCTGATGGTCTATGTTGTCTCACTACAACGTATCCAGGAACCGACAAACATCCAGGTACGACGACTAAACGCGGTTACCAGAAACTACAGGCAGGTCCGAAGAAGATCGTGTATCAAGCTATGACCCCAACAGGAGAAGTCGACCTGCATAGCGATTCTGGCTATCGTCGTCTCAACGGAGATGAAGACGACGAAGTCAAAGGCTATGGTATCCGCGGGGCTAACCTGCTGAGGCGTGGCCACACGCAAGCGGGGAAACCCGTCGTGCACCTGGTGGACGCATACTGCAAGTCTCATCGACTGCAGGTGCGTTCGAGCTACTCTGCGGAAACACTGGCAGCAGCCCACAACTTGGAAGACTGCTACCCGACCATTGTAACGCTCCACGAGCTACACTCGGGACCATTGACCCCCACACAGTTAAAGAACATATTGGAAATGGGTGGTCTATGTATCAAAGTCACTCTGACTATTGATGCCGAGTCTGTCTTCAAGTCTTTGTCTAGCAAAGATCTGAAGAAGCCCACAGAATGTACTCTGCTTGGGCACATCAGCTGGATCCGCCAGATGATGGAACGCGGAATCGTGGAAAGCGTCCAATGGTGTGACACGCGGGATATGACTGCCGATGGTCATACCAAAGGTAGTATTGACCGCGCGTTACTCCTACAAGTAATGGCCGGCCAGCAATCCTTCAAGCACGAGCTGAAGAAACATACACCGTATAGGGCGGGCAGGTCGTCTGAGGACGGCCCTGCCTCCCGAGCCAGCGGGGAAACCCGCGGGCAGGTGCGCTTTAGTAGCGAGGAAACTCGCCGGTAGCGAGGCTACTCGCGCGCCCCTTCCTTGTAGGCAGCCGCTGCTGCTTAGCACTGTTTTTCCGCATAGTGTAGAAGTGCGGTACCTGCTCGTCTCCTCCCCCTCCGACTTTAAACGGAGAAGGTTAAAGGCGAGGTATAAATCGAGCATGTACCGCTGCCGTGCCTGGCTCAAGCCGGGCCCGGCCAAATATATGACTGTGCCTCACTGAGGCGCACGACTTGCATCAGAGATCGGAAAATACCTTTTCCATTGACGATGCCCATCCTATCCTTTACTCCAGATCCCATGCTTCGTCTTGCACTCTTGCTCATGCGATATGAGCCAAAGCCTGGGATATGGCAACGCTTAAAGCGTAATACATACCTAAGCTTACCAGCTTGTTTTCGACTCGAGGAGCATCCTGGATCACGTGGCGAGAAAAAGGCCGCGCACGACACCGACGAAGAGCACAGGGAAGGGACGCCCGAGCGATGGCGACCTGCTTCAGCGAGCGAAGAACGGTACAACATATTTTTTTCGCCGTCGGGGGCGCCTGCCCCTGGGCGGCTGGGAAGTTTATACCCCTACGGTGCCACCGTAAGGGTATAAACTTTCCAGCCGCCCTGGGGCAGGCGCCCCCGACGGCGAAAAACAATATGCTATACCGTTCTTCGCTCGCTGACTGCTGCCTCCCCAGAGGTGGAGCGCAGCTTGTACGCGTCCGTCCACCAGGGCGTCGCCGCCACGCCGACGGCGAGGCGACCCGCGCCCCCCTGCCGGGCGCCCTCGCGGCCGCGCCTCGCCGCCTCGCCGCCCTGGGCGAGCGGCCCGCTCGGGGGGCCGCTGCTGCCGCGGGGGGGAAGGTCGCCAGCTCAGGAAGGTCAGACATCACCATCATCATCATCATCATCATCATCATCATCATCATCACCATCACCATCACCATCACCATCACAATCACCATCATCATCATCATCATCATCATCATCATCATCATCATCATCACCATCAGCATCATCAGCATCATCACCATCACCATCGCCATCATCATCATCGTCATCATCAGCATCATCGTCATCATCAGCATCGTCATCATCATCATCACCATCATCATCATCATCATCGCCATCATCGTCGTCGTTGTTCTCATCTGCAGCATCATCAGCAACATAATCATCATTCCCATCAGCATCATCATCATCAGCATCATCATCCTCATCCTCATTCTCACCACCCTCGTCATCATCATCATCATCATCATCATCATCATCATCATCATCATCACCATCACCATCATCATCATCACCAACTTCACTATCACCATCAGCAGCATCATAATCAGCACCAGCATCACCACCATCACCAGCATCATCAGCAGCATAATCAGTGTAATAATCATCACCATCCTCATCAGCATCATCATTATCATCCTCACCATCCTCATCATAATCTTCATGATCATCGGCATCAGCATCAGCATCAGCATCAGCATCAGCATTACCATCATCATCATCATCATCATCATCATCATCATCATCATCATCACCATCATCATCATCATCATAAGCATCATCATCATCATCATCATCATCATCATCATCATCATCATCATGGGCATCACCATCATCATCATGATCATCATCATCATTTCCATCATCACCATCATCGCAATCGTCGTCATCTTCATCACCGTCATCATCGTCATCGTCATCGTCAGTGTCGCCACCACCATCATCATAATGGTGGCTGGACGTCAACGTCCAGTCGCCGGTTCAGGCATCGCTTGCCGCCGCTGCCCGCGTTGCTGGGGCCGCCGCCGCCGCCGGCGACACGGCCAAGGCGACGCGCCACGCATAGCAGGTGCAAAGCCTCGCCGTCGAGGCACGCGGCCGCCTCAACGCCGTCGCTGCCGCGGCGCTCGCCGAGCTCGCGGCCGACTCGCAGGCGCACCGCAGCCGGCAACGCGTCGGCCGCCGGGGCACCTCGGAGCCGCGGCTCGCCGAGCGCCTCTGCACCGCGGTCGTGCTGTAGGCCGCGGACGGCGGACGCCACCGTCGACGCCCTCGGCCTGTAGCCTGGAGGTCGCCTTCACATTCTAGCAGCCATCCAACATCGGCCGCCGACAGGTGCTCAGATCATCATCAACATCAGCATCATCAGCATCATCATCACCCTCATCGTCACCCTCATCATCACAATCGTCTCCCTTCTGGTCATCGTCATCGTTCTCACCACTATCATCGTCATCGTCATGGTTCTTTTTTTTTTTCCGTAGCCATTTTGGCTCAAGATGGTCACTGCCCGTGGCAGAGCACGGAGACCCTTGGTCCAGGGCCAGCTAGAAGGACTAAGCTATCACGCCTTCCTCGCGCCCGCGAGGTCGAGCTTCATATCCCGGCCGAGGCCGATCCCATCGCTCCCATGGCTCCTGGCGGCGGTGGTGGTGGCGAGTGCGGCAGTTTCGTACGGCGTCCATGGGCAAAGGTGTGGCCCTGGCGTCAGCAGGAGAGAGGACGGAAAGCATTCTGTCAGCAGTGTTGCGCTTGGCTGTTCATGGACAGGCTCGCGGACGCTGACTTCAAGTGCAAGTGCGGCGCCAGCAGCTGGGGGGCGGAGCCATCAGGAGGAGGAGCACCAGATCGTTCACAACGTGACGGAGGCTTCGACGACTGGGGCTGGCCAATCCTCGGAGCAGGGCGTGGCAAAGGCAGGCGCAAGGGTACTGGAGGAGGAGGTGATCTACAGCGGCCAGGAGGTTACGGAAATCAATCTGGTGGTGGAGGCGGCGGCAAGGATGACAAGGTGGCCGAACTTCTCGCACAAGCAGCAGCACTGGCTGGTGACGGCGCTTGGAAGCAGAAGATCGAGGCCCTACGCGCAGAGGCAGCACCACATCCACCAGCAGTTCAGCATCCACAGCCTGGATCCCGTCAGGCGCTCAGAGCAGCAGAAGATCGAGTACAAAAGGCACAGAGTGCGCAAACGAAGGCCTATCGCCGTCGAGAAAGGCTTCGAGAAGATCTCAAGCAAGCGGAGGATGACTTCAAGCAGCGCAGTGCAGAAGTGGCGGCGGCAGAGGCAGAGGTCAAAATCGAACTTCAGCGACATCCCCTCGGAGGCGACCTCAAGTGCGACGGGGCGCAGAACGCGAAGAAGCAGCGCGTGCTGCCCCTGGGCGCCCTCCTGGAGGACGAGGAGATCGACGTCGACCTGGGCAGCCTCTTCGAGTGCGCGAGCGACGACAACATCTCGGAGGCGGACAAGCAGGAGCTCGAGAAGAGGAAGAAGCTCTTCCTGGAGGCAGCGAAGGGAGCGGCGAAGGAGGCTTTCGCACAGGCGGCAGCTACACTCAAGCAGCAGAAGCAACAGGAGCAGGAGTTCCTGGATCGGATTCGGAAGAAGCGCAAAGCGGACGCAGCCGAGTCTGAACTCGACGGAGCTGAAGCTGGAGCATCAGGAGGAGCGCCAGCGTCAGGCGGACCCCCTGCAGCTGCAGTGGGTGGGGCTCCACCAGCAGCGGCACAGCCAGCAGCAGCGGCAGCACCCGAAGCAGCAGCGCTATCCGAGAAGGAGGCGAAGGAGAAGCGCGAGCTGGCGGCAGCGGTCGAGGCCGCAAGGGTCGCAAACGCAGCTGGGCGAAGGGGTACGGCGAGCTCCTAGCCATACGATTTTCATGCAGAACTTGTCGACCTGGGGGCCCAGGTTGAAGAAGAAGATCGACTCGCTCAGGGACGACGTGATAATCTTCCCTGAGACGCACGTCGGCGCCGACGGCACGAACGAGATCGTCGAGCACCTGGACTTCAGGGGCTTCAAGGCGGCGGTCACGCCGTCGGTCAAGAACAAGCGGAGTGAGTTGGCAGGCGGCATCGGCATGGCCATGAGAGGTTTCTTGTCAGTGACGTCTACGCGACACTTGGCAGCGAAGAAGGAGCAGGCAGTGGGGCTGCGGTATCTGGACGGCGATTGGGAGCCAGGGCCGATCGACTTCCAGGACATGGTAGCAGCGCAGTGGCGGTGGCGCGGGCAGTCGGTCCTGGTCATCGGCATGTACCTCACGTCGTCTATCGGCATGAGCGGCGAGAACCACCAGAAGATGGCGCGCCTCGCGGCGCTCACGCGCGGCCACAGCGGGCCGTGGGCTGCGATAGGCGACTGGAATGCGGAGCCGAGGGAGCTCCAGGCGGCAGGGTGGTTAAGACTGCTCGACGCGAAGGTGATCACGCCAGCTGGCGTCAGCTACACGTGCACGCGCAACCCTGCGCGCATGCTCGACTACGTGGTGTGCTCGGAGACGTTCTCGATGATCGTGGATAGAGTTGATACAGATCGCCATGACCCTGGGGATCACTACGGCGTACGGGTCCACTTGAGGGGAGACCCGAGGATCGCGATGCAGCGCAACCTGCAGCTCGCGAAGCCCTTTCCCATGCCAGATATGCCGAAGCGGAAGGCGGACCCGAACAGCAAGCGGTCCAGGCAGAAGGCGAAGAAGCAGAGCGAGTACGAGGCAGGTGCGTTGAGCGCTGCGAGGAATGCGGAGGCCCCGCCCTCCTCGGAGCCCTCCCTTCCCAGGTCTGATCGAGGCGAGCGGAAGAAGGACGTGGTCGTCTGCGAGGCGGTGCCGCAGGAGTGCCAGCAGCAGAGCGAGCTGGCGGAGCTCTTCGGCGGGAGCAGCGACGAGGACGGGATACTCAGCGAGAATGAGGAGGCCTCGGAGGAAGCTGTCGCCGAGCCGAAGGCGGACGAGATCTTCGACCCGGAGACCGAGAAGCGCAACCTCCTGTGGCACGAGAAGTACCGCACGGCAGTCGCCGAGGACCGCATCGCCTGGAGGCAGCCAGCGCAGTACGTGAAGCAGACGCTTGCCTACACCTTCGACGAGGAGGGGGCGCGCGAGCTTGGGGCACGCTACGGCGCCTGGGTGCACGCGGTGGAGCAGTACTACATGTCGCCCCTGCAGATCAAGGCCGAGGAGCGCAGCATCTACCTCGGGCACGGCGAGGAGGTCAGGTTCAAGAAGGGCGAGACCAAGCTCGGCATCGGCGTCAGCGCCGACCTGGATCAGTCAATCAGGTGGTGGGGAACGCTGGCGTCGTACCTGGTCGAGCTGCAGCGCTGCGAGGGCAAGGGGCAACGAGCACAGCGGCTACGTGACGACTGCAGAGCACTCAGCAGCACGATGCCTAGTGGCGGCATCATCAAGATGACGGCGAAACAGAAGAGGAAGTGGCGAGTGGCTCTCAGCGGCATACACGGCATGTCCAATGTGCAAGTGCAGCACCTCGGCGTGGCCGCGCTCACCACAGCGAAGAAGGGTAAGCGCACGGAGGTTGGCGAAGCCTTGCTGGCCTACACGAATTGGGTGCAGGAGCAGGAAGCGGCAGGCAGCGGCAAGTTGCACCGCAAGACGAAAGACAAGCCGAGGTGTGACAATGAGGTGCGCAGCCAGGGCGTCACCGCATCGGACATGGTGGAGTACATGGACGCGAAGGGCGCGGTGTGGAGCAAGAAGTGGAAGAGCAACTTCAGCACGCAGGCAATCTTGCAGCGCCTGGAGCAGTCTCGCAGGGCGGCCACGGAGGAGGACTGGGCGCCCATCACTATCGAGAGCCTCAGCGTTGCCATCGACACGATGGCGAAGAGCAAGGCGAAGGGCGTAGAGCAGATGGGCGCCCTGGCTTTCAAGTGGTTGCCCCCAGAAGCCAGGGAGGAGTTGCGCATCATCATCGAGGAGGTCGAGCGCACTGGTACATGG